GGGGGGGGGGGGGGGGTTGATGGCTGAAGCATTGGTTTGGTAGAAGTTGTTTTTTTCCTTGGTTCAAACATTTTTTGATAATTGGTGATGATATATTCTAACATAATGTCTTCACTTTTCTATATTTATTTTATATAAAAGTGAAAAATACTTACAGATCCAAACAATTTTGAGCATGAGTGTTTGGCAATTCACTATCTTTCTCATGTGTCAGACAGTCGCAGGTTTGAATTCATTTCATGCATTGGAGCGGTTCATATATCCCAGTTTCGGCTGGACGTGCGTGTGGAAGGCATCAGTTTCTCTGACATATTAGACGGGACTGTTTTTCACGAGACACATCAGTCCACGGGAGGAAGAAAGAAGGCAACAAGTTTGTACATAAAAACAAACAAACAAATCTCAACAATAATAAATCAAATATCAAGCAACATACAGTAGTCCCTCGTTTATCTAGGGTGTTTGGGACCACGCCCACCCGCGTTAAGTGAAAAACCGTAAAGTAGGGATACAGTAGTCCAAGTTCAGTTCAAGTTCTGTAAACTTTGTCATGACGTGTGCCAGGTTGTAATCACACTCATCACCTGTTCCCAATCTCCCTCCTTAAATAAACAATTTAAATACTGTAAGATTTTAAATAAACAATCCACACAGCATGGATGGTTTATTTAAAATGTTACAGTATTAAAATTTAATCTGTAGAGAAGAGAAGTGCAGCAGGACATCAAAGTGTTAGCCCTTCAAGCAGCTCTGCAGCACGGAGCCGAAATGTACTTCTTGATCAATTACACTTCAACAACTGAACATGAAGTTCTAAAATAATTAAAAATAACTTTTAGCACTTTTATATTTTGTGATTATGACGATTTTACAGCGTGACATACTTTGAATTTTAAGTTGGAAGACAAAAGTTGATCGGTGCATCTGGACAACAAAGGGTTAACCCTTCACAAACCACAGCAGGAGAAATGTGTGTGCGTGGCAGAGAAAGAGATCAGTTGATCAGCTGCAGGAGGGAGCTTCCCCTTCACTTGTGGGCTGCACACATGATGCAAATTCATGCAAAATAATTTATTTTAAATAAACAACCCATGGCTCATCCATCAATCAGCCAACTGTGTCATGTCCAATCTTACTTTGAAACACCGCGATATAGCGACTCCGCAAAAAAATGAACCGCGAAGTAGCGAGGGACTACTGTATATCCTATTTTTTACAACAGAAAATATAATGCAGTTTGTAAAATTTGTGCCATTAGTGATTCAGGAAATAAATGTCCGCCCCACGAATAGTTTTGCTCAGGAGCAGTTAAACCCTTCTTACACCTAGATGTAGCTACACACCT